CTCCCTCCCCCCCCCGTGTGTGTGTGTGTGTGTGTGTGTGTGTGTGTGTGTTTGCCTTATGTTGGAACATGTCCAGAAGGAGAAGCTGTGGTATACTTAGTAGTAATGTAGTTGCTGCAAATATCCATCATGATAAAATTACAAGTGCATTTCCCTCAAGACAATTTATGGGGATGTAGCTATATTTCTATATATCCTATTGACAAAATGCCTTATGAGACAGACCAGAGGCCAAAACAATGTTGAGTTAATTGTTAGTATTTATTGACTTTTTCTGGTTTATTTTAATGGAAATGCAACATATGGATTATAACCAGGGAATCATTTAATTCCAAAGTGTTGCGTCTTTTAATGTGATGATAAAAATAAGTTAGATTGGAGTATATAGTTAAGTTGATAAAATATAAAGATTAAGTCTAAGAAATATGGCTTATTATATCAAGTCTAAATTTTCTTTGTTGCTCATTGTTAATGTTACAGTTTTCAATCAAGTGGGTTGAATTGTGGCCAACTTTTAATGTCCAAAATACTACTTAAGACAGACAGAGACAAAGAAAAGGGTAGTTTGTAGCAGACTTTCTTGGACTGCAATCCCCTAATCATGACACAGAGAATTATTATTAATTATGAATGCTCGGCCTTAACTGAGAATTGTTTCTCTAGTGCTTTTAACTTAAGTTAACCTGTTTTTATTAGTCTATGTGCTGCCCCAAGACTCGTTTACCTCATGTAGGTACTATCCATCCTGCTTCCCTGCTTTCTCCATGTTTGGCTGGCTAGCCCCTGCTGGCTGGTCTCTGGATGGATGGATGGCATCTCTTTTCTCTCTGCCTACCAGCCTCACATATTCCTCCTCTGCCTAGCTATTGTCCATTCAGTGTTTTAGTAGAACATTCATGTGCCTTGGGCAGGCAAGGTAAAACAGCAACACATCTTTACATAGTTAAACAATTATTCTGCCACACAAGTAGATGCAGCACATCGTTGCATAGTTAAACAAATATTCTATCCACAACAGTAGTTCATTGAACAATTTAAACATTTTAAAATTTTAAATTCAATATGACATTAGAGTTTACAGTTCTCAAGTGTTTGGCTACCAAATTTCTTATGTTCGGATAATGAGCATTCAAACACCTGTGTAAATTATAAGTGAGGTTAAAAAAAACAAAAAAGCAATACTTTTAGAGTCTTCTATGTTGCTAGAGTTTTCCTGCCTTGCCCACAGTCAGGACAAATCTCTGTCACCCGCCAGTCCCACAGCCGCTTAGACCCAACCAAGTAAACACAGAGACTTATATTGCTTTCAAACTGTATGGCCGTGGCAGGCTTCTTGCTAACTGTGCTTATAGCTTAAATTAGTCCATTTCCATAAATCTATACCTTGCTACGTGACTGGTGGCTTACCGGCATCTTCACATGCTGCTGGTCATGGCGGCGGCTGGCAGTCAGTCCTTCTGCCTTCCTGTCCTTTTATTTCTCCTCTCTGTTAGTCCCGCCTATCCTTCCTGCCTAGCCACAGCCGATCGTGTTTTATTTATTGATCAATCAGAACAACTTGACATACAGACCATCCCCCAGCACAGCCAAGTGCAGACCATCTCAGACACCTGCACTCAGGCCTAAGGTCCTAATCATCCTCTATGCGGACCTGCTGGGTAACGCCACAAAGAACCCAAGAAGGGCTCCCACAGGACATACAGAACATCCCACAGCACTTCTATAGTTATATATGTACAATAAAATTTGCTCTTATGTCAGTGTTAGCATAAATTAGAGTAAATTTATTAGTTTATGATCTGCTATCCTATAGAAGATACATTCTGAATGGCACCAACGTAAATGTTGAGCTAAGGAAGCACAATGCAATGTCTACTTGAAAGGCATATATATAATACAGTCATATAATGTTTTTGAAGAGCTATGCAAATTTCTTGAGTTTCCAAAGGTATCTGTCAAGGGATATATAATATGTATACGTATATTATTACACAATACATATAATTATTTATTATGAAGTTAATTTGAATTAATTATGATGAAAATCATGCAATATAGAAGTAAAAAATTCCTCCATTATACTTCCCAGAGGTTGGGTAATATTGGAATAAATCTCGGGCCTTGTTCAAGCTCAATGCACCCTCTACCGTAATTGATAGACTCCCTGTCCAAAATTTGGATTTGATATTTTTTAAATGTTTAGTTCTTTAATGAGTTCATAATGAGAATGAGTTAACATGAAAAAGGCTTACTAAGGCTCATATTTTTGGTCAAGCAATTAACTTATGTGCTGAGGCTGTTTGTCTTATTTGTTCTACTGATCATTTCATATCAATGGGATCACAATTTTCATCAAAATTTCAAATGTTTCAGCCTTTATTTTTAAGTAAGGAACCACCAAAGGCTTATATATTATCTCAATTAAAGTGGCCATACTAGTCATTAATATTCTGTTCATTTTCTGATTATTTCCCCTGTCCATAATTAGTTTTTCAATAATTTCTTTTGTGGCGTTTAATGACATTTTATAATGTCTAATCTTTGATTAATCCCTTTTGTGTATATTTTAATGACCTATATTGTTATTGACATTTCTTAATGTGAAATTTGGGTGATTATATATCTACCTTGTGTCTACTCAATTTTTCCTATAATGTCTTAATGATATAAAATACAGATATAAATTCAGTTTCCTTTCTTAACTCAACCAACTGTGTATATTTTTGTTACATTTAGTTATTGTATTTTATCCTTACTATAAGTGCTATTTTAATGTACTTTTTAGTATCTGGTAACGTTTAATTTTTGTTGGGTGTTTGAAAATAAATTGCTAAATGCTAAATAACTTGTCATTCAAATAAATTTTAAGCTATCTTGTGAGACCCAGTTAATCTAGTTTAAAACAGCTTTCAAATTTATAGATTTTTTGATACATTATTGTATGCAATTATCCAGCTAATTTGTTCCACTACTAAGGCAAAATCCTTCTGTTTACTCCAATGTACCTTGAAATATTAATTCTTCTTCCACAGTGGCAGGTGGGCTATCACAACCCAAATTTAGCTTCTTTCCCTAGTCTTTGGTAGTTCTCTCACATATAGAAGCTGTTTAGGACCCACAGGAAAGCACTTTCTGAAGATCTTCCACGTTCTTCCTCACTGTTTCATTCTCCTTTCTAGCATTCTGCCTTGTAATATTGATGTTTGCCCCATTGGACTTTTTATTTCTTCTCCTGAAATCAAAATATTTGGTGTCTTGAACATTTCCACATCTTTTCTTATAGTTTAGAGAGCTGCCTAGATAGGAAGGTGGAGAAATTTAGTACTCAGTCATGGGATTGTTTCCATTCACTTTGTCATCATAATCCTTTATCCTGTGTTCAATATCTTTAAAGCCATTCTTTCATACACATTATTTTTATGTTTAAATTTGATACAAGATCTTCTCCCTTTCATTAAAAATTGCCATGAAACAGAAATATGAAACTTTTAATATTTTTCAAGGTATTATTACTAACACAGTCATACAAGTCTATCATAATATTATAGATCGGTAGAATATAGAAAAGTTCCCACTTACTGACAGTGTAATGTATTAATTATAATTGATGAATATTTATAAACGTATTTCCTATTCAGTTAGAGAAAATGCAAAAGTATTTTATTTCATCTATTTCTTAATCTACAAATAAATTATACACACACACACACACACACACACACACACACACAGGGAAATGTTCTACTAGATACAGAGATTTTAATGATATCACAAGTCCTATAAAATTTAGCCTGCTTTTTCTTCATGAAATCTGCCTACACATGGATGTTTACATATACATTAATATGTCTGAATAAGTTTACATTCTGAGAAAGATTTTATTAAAGAAGTTTTATTAAGATACATCTGATGGTATCTCTTCAACACACAGAATATTGCATTAAATGTCTCAGCTGTATCTCTGGCTATGCTCACACTTTATTAAACAAGGAAATAACAATAAAATGATGGATTAGTTCATATTTATAAATGTTAAAATTGAATTAGTATCAATGAATACTGAATTATTCATATCAAACATCTTAACCACAGTATAAGCTAACTGGAAATCCTACTAAACATTATTTCCATGAAGTATGGGAACTTCTCAAAGTATACACTTTGAGGAAGAATTGAGGAAAATTCCCATTCATATGAACTTACCATCCTGAGATGACTGATACTTCTGTCTTCTCAGTTTGTAAGCAACAAGAAGACATGCTAGTGAGAGTCTTCAGAATAAAAGTTGAATACCATGAAGTAAAGTTATGAAAAAAATATTAATTCACATGGTGACAGTATGCATTGGTATGTCATCAATTATCTCGGTTAAAAACAGGGATGTGGAAATCATAAAATCCCCTAATATTAAGATCTAAACCTGCTTTCAGCTAGACTTGAAAGAAGTAACTTTTAAAACATAAGCTGTTGAATGTTATTGAATTCTTCCAGTTGACAGTAGAAACAATAAAAAAAATCACCATTAGGTTAAATATTTGCAAGAGCTGAATATTGTTCCTTTTAATGGAAAAGCAGCCTGTTTGCTTTTATGGGATAATGCTGCTTAGTGAACTATATTAAAAATTAACAATTCCTAGAGAATATTGCCATGAATATGTGT